TAACTGACAGACCAATGATGAGGGACATCCTGGTGCAGAGTGGTTATGAAAGGGGATGCCAGTGGAAACCCTATCTCCCCACACAACTATTTCTGAAACCCAAACTAGAAGGTGACAGAAGGTTAGTTACCTTTCATGACAGGGTCAGGGTCAGATCTTTGGGGGTTTTTTTTTGTTTTGTTTTGTTTTGAGTCAGAGTCTCACTCTGTTGCCCAGGCTGCAGTGCAATGGCATGATCATGGCTCATCACAGCCTCAACCTCCTAAGCTCAGAAGCTATCATTCCACCCTGGCCTCCCAAGTAGGTGGGACTACAGGCGCATACCACCACACCTGGTTAGTTTTTTAAAAATTTTTTTGTAGAGACAAGGTCTTGCTATGTTGCATAGGCTGGTCTCGAACTCCTGGGCTCAAGCAATCCTCTTGCCTTGGCCTTTCAAAGTGCTAGGATTACAGGTGTGAGCCATTGCGCTGGCCAGAATCAGATCTGAAAGGAGCTTATGCTTATGTAAAGAACAGGACATGAAAAATACTGAGGTGTTTTTCCTGGGAGATGTCTGATCTGACAAAAGGACTTGGAAATCATCAGCATCTAGGGGTTAGGAAAACAAAAGTGGGTAGGATTGCCTGGGGATATCAGGTTGCAGAAGATTTAACCTTTTGAGGATCCTTGATCCCTTTATGAATGTGATGAAAGCTATGGAAAATCACTCCAGAAAAATACACAGGTTAAAAATTACACAAACATATGCACAATTTCAGGGAATATTCAGATTAAGAATCTTTAATATGGAGGGAACAGAAGTGGTCTGAGGAAGAGGATGTTCAAGGGAAGGGAGAGGATGAGAGGAGCAGGAAAGGGACCAAAGAAAAACGACCCAAGAGGTACAAGAAGAACAAGGAGGCTGAAGTGTGTTAGGAAGCTGCTGCAGCAGAAAGACACAAGGAGGGCATGGTTAGCAGCAGTGAGTGCTATAGAAATTTCAGCTAAGGCCAGCAATGAATGTCTTTTGCACTTACAATTAAGAAATCACTGGTAATGAGGCTGGATGTGGTGGCTCATGCCTGTAATCCCAGTGTTCTGGGAGGTCGAGGTGAAATCTTGTCTCTACAAAAAAATTTTACAAATTTAAAAAGTACCCATGTGTAGTGTCACATGCCTAAAGTCCCAACTACTTGGGATGCTGATGTGGAAGGATCACTTGAGCCCAGAAGGTCAAGGCTGCTGTGAACCATGATCTTTATGATCATGCCACTGCATTCCATTCTGGGAGACAGAGTGAAACCCTGACTCAAAAAAAAAAAAAAAAAAAAAACGGAGACACAAAAGACACAGAGAGGAGAAGTGGCAGAAGGGCAAAGGAGCCAGAAAGTGCCTTTGAACTTGAGGAGGAGCACCCCACCTAGGAGAGGGGAAGAGGACTGTGGCTACAGATGAACTTCCTCCAAGTTTGAATTTAAGTGGATCAGCCCAGATAGCCTCTGTTTTCTCCATAACATAAGTAGTGAAGTTAACTGCTGAGAGTAAAGAAATGAGAGTTGTACAGATTTGAGAACAATGGCTATGTTTTAGGATCACTGATAAGGGACTGATGGGAGAAGAGGCTGAAGAAAAACAAGGAAAAGAACAGCTCAGCTGGCTGGTGTTGGAGCCCATGCCAGCCACAGTCCTGATAGGAAGCAAACAGCACATTCAAGTGGGGAAACTAAGGAGAGTTTCCTAAAGGGAATATTTACCAAGATGTTAGTAGGATTAAGGGAAACTCATAAAAGGTAGTGAGGCACCCTGGGGTTAGCAAAAGTGGGGAGCCTTTTCTACCGTTAGACCTCAGGGGCAACAGAAAAGAGCAGATCCCAGATCCCAAAGGGAATGGACATAGTTTATGAGAGGACTGCACACTGGAGCTCATATAGTGCAGATGTTGACGTAATCTAAACCAGGCAGCCTTCTCTGTCTCCAGTTTCTAGTGACTATCCTCTTGTCCCAGTCTCAGGGTGCTCTGCTATTCCTTGTGATTTCACTATACTCTTTCTATACCTTTATAAATATCTCTTTATTAAATTACCCAGTTTGAGTACACTGGATTTGAGTACACCCAGCCAGGATCCTTCTTTTAAATATCTGACCCTAAGTATCTATCCCAATAAACTATACTCACAACCTTGGATGGTTAAAAATGCAGCTTGTTTCTTTTTCCTGATCAAGGTTTTCATTATCATTAGATTATATTCTCACACTTCCACCAGGCCCCGGTGGTTGGGGAATGCTGGTCCTTTAGCAGATATTTCCTATTTCCTAAAGAAACCTTGACTTATACATGGTTCTTTGAAAATACGAATAAAATAGACAAACTCTGGAAAGAAGAAGAAAAGAGGAGGCAGTAAGTGTTAGAACAAAAGGGGGATGGCTTGGTACGGTAGTTCAAGCCTGTAATCCCAGCACTTTGGGAAGCCGAGGTAAGGGAATTGCTTGAGCCCACGGGTTCAAAAACAGCTTGGACAACTTGACGAGACTTCATCTCTACAATAAATAAGTTAAAAATGAGCTGGACGTGGTAGTGTGTGCCTGTAGTTCTGGCTACTTGGAAGGCTGAGGCGATAGGATCGCCTGAGCCCAGCAGATTGATGCTGGGGTTGCCATGAACGTGCCAGCAACAGAGTGAGACTCCAACTCAAAAAAAAAAAAAAAAAAAAAAAAACCTGAAGCAATGGATTAAAAATCTCCCCATAAAAGAGGGGCAGTTATTAGGTGTTTTGTGTGGCAAATGTAAACATTCTTAATGTATTTTTAAAAGTCGAATCCAACAAGCCTGTTTACCTGTCTGTACTTCTTATTCTATGGGAAGCTCTCAGAGACTGTGGGAAGCATCCATTTTATTCACTGTTGTAACCCAAGCCTACCACAGTCTTGGATTAGTTAAACTTACCATTATTAAACTATGGCAGGAAAGCTAGAAAATCTAGGGGATCAGTAGACATATCAGTCTTCAGGCAAGTGTCGGGGACTTTCACAAAAGCCAGGAGGTTCCCAGTGAAACTTCAAACAGCCAGGGCAGGGTTGTGATTTTAGACTAAGACCTAGTCTACCTGCTTTGGTACTAGTCGATACAGGAAATCCTTTCAGAATGAAAATCTGCATGCAGCAAGTCTCTCCCCAAGACCTGGTCTCTAGAACAACCTAATAAATTCCTTGTGGAACACTGAAATTCACCATTCAGTCCTTTTGTTAATCATGCCAAAGTAAGTTATTAGAATGTTCATGAGAGAACAGCTGAATAACATTATTAAAAAGGTCTGAACCCAATTCAGGTATTTGAAAAGTTTTTCAGTAACTTTCAAGCTACTTAAATTTGCTTTACAACTCATAGTTCTGGCCTGCAACACAACTTTTGAGACCAATATTTTCCTTTAAAGGCACCAAGAGTCATAGTCTTATAATCATGATAATAGGGTCCTAACTTGCATTTTTGATGTAGAGAAATTAGCTTGGTTTTTACCTTTATTCAGAAGTTCTACAAAGTCATGTGGGTTTCAGCTGAGCACAGAATGTGGGCAAGAACCCAAGACTGCTTGGGGGTTAGATGAGGCTCAGGAGTGTCTTAGGCTTTGCCTACCAGTAGAAGTGATGTACTTGTTTTTGTTGTTGATTTGTTTTTAATCCTGAGCTTCTGGACCAATTTTCCATTAGTGCAGCCAAGAAGATATAAAATTGTATATCTCATGCAAAAGTATTTTGAAGGTCTGATTTCTAAATTCACAGGGGCCCCTCATCAATTAGAGCTGGATAGCAAATGTAAGTTCACATGGCCCAGTGAAGAGCAGGCATCACCAGGTGGACTTGAGGTAGACTCAAGGTGCACTGCCCTGAAGCACCATGAACTTGGTTGCTAAGTGTCCTCTTCAGGATCCACCCAGGGCTTTCCTATCCAATTTTGTTGGAACAAAACCTAGGGATTAAATAGAATGCAACCTCACAAAGTTCCTGTGAAAGGTGTGGAAAACAGGGATCCTCTTTGTTTGTTTGTTTGTTCACTTTTACTTTTTTTAGAGACAGAGTCTCACTCTGTCACCCAGGCTAGAGTACAGTGGCACAATCATAGCTCACTGAAGCCTTGAACTCCCAGGCTCAAGCAATCCTCCCACTTCAGCCTCCCAAGTAGCTGACACTACAGGCACATGCCACCAGGGCTGGCTAGTTTATTTTTTTTCTTCTTCTTTTTAATTGGAGAGATGAGCTCTCACTAAGTTGTCCAGGTAGGTCTCGAATCCCTGGGCTCAAGCAATCCTCTTGCCTCTGCCTCCCAGAGTGCTGCGATTACAGGCATGAGCCCCCACACCTGACCAGGATCCTTCTTTTAAATATCTGACCCCAAGTATCAATTCCAATAAACTACCTTGTTAAAATACAGCTTATCTCTCTTCTCTGTTCAAAGGTTTTCATTATCATTAGATTATGTTATCATACTTCCACCAGGCCCCAGTGATTGTGGGATGCTGGCCCTTTAACAGGTAAACATGGGAGGAGCTGGGATTCTTAAAGCCAGGAGCAGCAAGCACACCTTGGCCCAGGCTTCCATGGCTAACCTGAGTGGAAAGGACAGCAACAGTCAGGCAGTGGGTGTCAGCAGCAAGGTGTCACTGTGCATAGATGGTGGCTAGTGGTGTCCATGTGGGAAGTGTTTTTCTTTCAACTCTTGGCCCTGTCTCTCATTTTTGTCCCTTTAGTGGGCCAGTGTCCTGTAGCTGAGCTGGTGAGGTGGGAGGATGAGGGTTTATGGCAAGCTGAGAGCTCAGAGTTCCACTTGAGATCTTGGACCAATAATTCTCTGACTACCTTGCTGAGAGGAGAGCATGGCTGTTTTAGGGTGCCATGCCATTCTTACTGACTGAGAAGGAGGGTGTCTCTGGGTCTCTTTCCTGTCCTAGGTTTACCTCCCAGAGGCTAATGGTGCTCTACCACTGAAGAACACAGCCAAGGAAGAAGTCCACCAGCCTACCAAGATGAAATGTCTTGAAGGTATTGCTAAGTGTGCTGTAGTGTATGGATGAAAAGCCTTGGGGGTGCAGGGACTTGCTGGTCTGCTTCACACATGGGTGTGGGTGTCCAGAGTCACTGGAAGTTATTCCAAATTCTTCTACTTGCAAACTATATCATGGTGGGTGACCAAGAGATCACTTTTCTGGGCTTTATTTTCCTCACCAACATAGCAAAATGATACAGTTTAGAAAGTGACATATGGGCCGGGCGCAGTGGCTCACGCCTATAATTCCAGCACTTTGGGAGGTCGAGGTGAGAGGATTGCCTGAGTTGACGGGTTTGAGATCAACCTGACCAACTTGGTGAGACCTCATTTCTACAGTAAATGAAAAAATTAGCTGGGCATGGTGGTACATGCCTGTAGCTCCAGCTATTGGGAAGGCTGAGGCAGAAGGATTGCCTGAGCACAGCGGGTCGAGGCTGTGGTGGCCAGGAGTGTGCCACTGCCTTTCAGCCTGGGTGACAGAGTGAGACTCCGACTCAAAAAAAAAAAGCATCATATGCCGACTGTTACATGAATATACATGTGTAAAGTATCAGGCACACAGTAGGGTTAAAGGACACTGAGTCAGGGCAGCTGGAACTTGTTAAAGCAGGTTGTGGAACTTAATGAAACAACTGAAGAGGGGATGTCGGAAGTGAAAGTAAAGGTGTTTGGCATCTTCCAGGTCTCATTTTTGTGTTGTTTAAAAATCTGGTTATTTATTTAGAGACAGGGGTCTCACTATGTTGTGCAGGCTCAAATTCCTGGGCTTAAGGTATCCTCCCACTTCAGCCTCCCAAATAGCTGAGACTATAGGCACACACCACCACAACCAGTTCAGGTTCCATTTGATGTAGTTGGAGATGGTCTGGGGAGCCCTGGGGTAGGGAGGCTGTGTTGAACCCCCAGAACAGGAGACGTTGTGTTTGAGGGTGTGCTAGAGATGGCTTATAAATAGAAGTGTGATTGAGTAGCAGCCTCATTAGACAGGACTTCTCACACCTGAGCCCCCATCTTACTCCTCTTCAGGCCCACAGTTAAACCAAGGGCCAGGTAAGACCTGTGGCCCCTTGGCTCCTGAGGAGGAATTGGTATCTATCTCCCAATGGGAGGGAGAGAAAGATAATGAAGAGGATGAGGAGGAGGGGGATCTGGATCCAAATCTGGCCCCAGACCCTGAGGAGGAAGAAGAAGAAGAGAATTATCTTGGAGATCCAGCTGTACTCAGCGCTGTCCATAACACCCAGGTACATGGCAGGAGGGGGTGGGAAAGGGTTGTCCTGCTGTCTGCAGCTCACAGGCTGTGGCTAAATACTTCTGTTTTCCACCCTTTTCTAAGACAGGTTCTGGATTAACACTATTTTAGGCTTGAACCTGAATTAGGGACTCTCTCCTTCCCTCTTTCCTTTTGTCTTCCACTTAGTTTCTGTTGCTATCCTTGCCTTAAAACCAGGTTCTAGGCTGGGCACAGTGGCTCAAGAGGATTGCCTGAGCCCACAGTTTCAAGACCAGCCTGGGCAACATGGTGAGACTTTATCTCTACAATAAATCAAAAAATTAGCTGGGTGTGGTAGCACATGCCTGTAGTTCCAGCTACTTGGAAGGCTGAGGCGGAAGTATCACCTGAGCCCAGCAGGTCAAGGCTACAGTGCCTGAGAGTGTGCCACTACACTCCAGCCTGGGAGACAGAGTGAGACTCCAACTCAAAAAACAAAACAAAACAAAAAAACAGGTCCTAGTAGGCCTGTGTATCACCAGAGGCAGTGGCCCTGCCACTGGTACTGAAGGTAAGTTATCTTAGATGATCCCGGGCCATTGTTTCAGCAGTCCATTCCTGGAATTTGCTCCCTACAGAAATCCCCATGTAGAAATAAGATGACTTGGAAATGCCTTGAAGATATCACTAAGTGTGCAACCTCCACCTAGGATACAGTAGTTCCCTCTTATCCATGGTTTCACTTTCCCCTGTTTCAGTTACCTATGGTCAACCATGGTCTGAAAATAGTACAGTACAAAGAGATTTTTTAGAGAAATATCACATGTATATAACTTATTACAATATGTAATAATTTTTCTATGCTAATCTCTTACTATGCCTAATTTATGAACTATCACAAGTTATGTATAGGAAAAAATATATATAGGGTTCAGTATTATCCACAGTTTCAGGCATCCCCTGGGGGGTCTTAGAACCTATCACTTGTGGATAAGCGGAGGGATCACAGTATTAGTCTCCTCTCAGGGGAAGGAGAGGGATCCTGAGCTGGTTGACTCTGAGGAAGAGTCAAGCTGCCACTGTCCTGGGCATTAGGTTGGTCTTGCTACCTCCTTCCACAACCTCATGGACACAGATGAATATAGAAGACACCACAGGGGCCCGTGTGAGCCTGGGTGTTTCTCTCTCCTATTCCAGAAAGGTTTTCATGGCTCCACTGGAGTCAAGACCCCTGGAGTGCTCGGGATGTCACATGCCTCCTTGCATTTTCTACGGCAGGTGAGTCTGCTGCAGTCTCCATCCTTATGAGAGATGACTGGGTATTGAGGAGGACTCCATGCATTATGTTCAGTCTACTCTTGACCCTGCTCTGGAGATAAGGCACCCAAAGTGAGTGGTAGGTATGGGAGGTAGTAGGTGCTCCATCATAGAGGAGCATGGAAAATGACAGAGGTTCCCAACCAGAGGCATAGATGGACATCTCAATGTGTGATACTGGGACAACTGGCCATTCATATGAAAAAGAACAAGCTAGATCTTACCTTTAGGAAATATTTCAGTAGATGAGCACCACTGAGCTTAGGGCTAGAAAGAGTTAACCGGAAACATGGCCTGAGGCAGAGGAATCCAAGGACCAAGGAATCCTGCAGGGAGAACCAGAAGGGAATTAAAGTTCTGAGGAAGGCTTCAGGTGAATCAGAAAAGGACAGAGAATACTACCCTAGTGGCAGAAGACAAAGATCCTGAGAGAAGATTGTTTCAGAGAGGAGAGTAAGAGGCATTGACTCACCAGAAAGTAGGGAAAGCACATGACCCAACACTGTCAGGGAATGAAAAGTGCTTCCTAGGAGGTACCAAACCCTGTTGAAACAAGGGCGGGAAACACAGTCTTGTTCTCTTAAAGCTGGCTTGAGGGGACCCCTCCCCCAGCAAGATGTTGGGTGAAGTTATTGAGGGAACAGGTAGGAAAGAAACTGAGCCTTTGTAGCAAGAGCAAAGGACCATCTCCCAGACCTCTTAATTCCTCTCTCAGACCCTGGACTACCTGTCACCAATCCCTTTCCGGCCTACGTTCCCCAACACAAGCTCTCCAGCACGGCACTTTGGACCTCGACTGCCCTCCCCAGATCCATCTCTCTCCTGCAGCCTGCTGACCTCAAGGCCCCCTGGGTTCAGGTACCCGTTCAAGGTGCTGAAGATTCCAGCATCAGGACAAGCTGGGTTCCTTCCTAGAGGTCTCAGGAGCTGGTGGCTGAAGCAGGATAGGGGTCTTATTGAGGTCAGCTAACATCACAGAACTGAGTCTAGGACTCAGAACTCCTGACAAACAGATCAAAAGGTTTTCTACTGTGCCAAGATTTCCTGCAGCCAAATTGCAGGACAATATATGTTGGACGGGAATGGGAGCCCTGTTGGGCTAGGATTGTGATGTGTCATGTGACTGACCTTGAGAAGGAATATAAACAGGGTTCCCTAGATGTCTACCCGAGCTTACCTGGGGCTGAATGACTGGAGGAATTGGGGAGCTGGGAGCTTCCTTCCACCCAGCCCAAGTTTCTTTTTAAGTCTTCCCAGTCATCTGACCCAGCTTCACCCTCAGCACCAACGGATCTTGCTGCAGCAGCAGCAGCAGCAGCAGCAGCAGCAGCATAGTCGGACACCAAGGTAAAGCCTGGACAAGGAGCAGGGTTGAGAGAAGAACATCTGCATGCTGGGTATCCCCTTGTGACCAGGCATCTTCCCCAAATCCCCTTTACAGTTAAGACTCTCACACTGTTGCCCACCTGTGCACTTGCTCCCATCCTTCCCAAAGACCTCCACTTCCTGCTCACCACTTCCTGGGAAGTTCACTGTGGCAGGGGTGGGCAGGTCTGAAGGGTTGCTCCTCCTGGCTTGAAGCCCCCCAGCCAAGAAGCCTTGGTCTCAGAAGCCAGACCCCTATGCTAACCTCATGACACAAAAAGAAAAGGACTGGGTGATAAAAGTGCAGATGGTTCAGCTGCAGAGTGAGAACCCTCACCTGGATGACTACTACTACCAGGTGAGCCCCCAAGGTGTTCATCTCTGCCTCTGACCTTGGGGTCAAATGGGCCTGGACTCCCTGGGCCCTCTCTAATCCTCTCTTTAGCTCATGGAGGTCATGATCATTTAGGTGGGAAAGACGGTCACTGCAGGATAGAAGTCATATTTCTAAAGTTGACATCCCAAGCTCATTTCTCTCTTTTCTCCTATATTTTAGCCAGATAGGATTATTTATAGTCCCCAAATACATTTAGGCTTTGTCTCCATTATTTGCTGAGATTTTTTTTTTCTAGTCATCTTGGATATATGGACTTTCCCACCATTGTACACCTTTGTGGGTCTTAGAAAAGTTTTCTTATAAACATCCACTTACCTTTTACTTTAAATCTAAAGTAAAGAGATTACACCAATAGTGGGATTCAGTATGTTGACTTGAACAAACACTGGCAGACATCAAAAACCCTCCTCTTTCTTCCAGGATCGCTGAAAGTGAAATCATTTTGCACTCTTGCCTTTTTGGCATTGCTCTGTTTTTTTTTTTGTTTTTTTTTTGAGTTGGAATCTCACTCTGTCACCCAGGTCGGTATGCAGTGGCATGCTCACAGCCACCGCAGCCTAAACCTAATGGGCTCAGGAGATCTTTCCACCTCAGCTTTCCAAGTAGGTGGAACTACAAGAGTGCACTACTATGCCTGGCTTATTTTTTGATTTATTATAGAAACAAGGTTTCACCAAGTTGCCCAGGCTGGTCTCAAACCCCTGAGATCAGGCAATTCTCTTGCCTCGGACTCCCAAAGTGCTGGGATTACAGGCTTGAGACACCATTCCTGGCTTGGCATTGCTCTTAAAGGAGCCTTATTCAGATCCTTGTGTGACATGTTTTGGTGGCTGTTAGTTTAGGATTTCTCAACTTCAGAAAATATGACGGATGTGGTGCCTCACTCCTATAATCCCAGAACTTTAGGAGGCGGAGGGAAGAGAATTGTCTGAGCCCAGGGGTTCAAGACCAGTCTTGAGCAGCTTGATGAGGCCTTGTCTCTACAATAAATCAAAAAATTAGTCAGGCATGGTGGCACATACCTGTAGTTCCAGCTACTTGGAAGTCTGAGGCAGGAGGGTCACCTGAGCCCAGCAGGTCAAGGCTGTGGTGGCTGTGAACATGCTACTGCACTCCAGCCTGGGCAACAGTGAAAGTCAGACTTAAAGAAAATAAAAGAAAATATTAGAACTGTTTGCTTTGCAAATCCACAGAAGTAGAAAACTGGCCTAAGTCTGGGCATGGTGGCTCATACCTATAATCCTAGCACTTTGAGATTATAGGATGAGAGGACCACTTGAGTCCACGAATTCAAGACCAGCCTAGGCAACATAGCAAGACCTCATCTCTACAAAAAAAAAAAAAAAAAAAAAATCAAAAGATTAGCTGGGTGTGGTAGCACATGTCTATAGTCCCAGCTACTCAGGAGGCTGAGGCAGAAGGATCATCTGAAGCCAGAAGGTCAAGGCTGCGGTGAGCCATGATCGTGTCACTGTACTCCAGCCTGGCCAACAGAGTGAGACCCCAACCTAAAAAAGAAATAAAGCTGGCTTAGAGGCCAGCTGACAAATACATCCCTGGTGCTCGTTCTGTGCTTCAAGCTCTTGATGGCTTAGATATCATCAGACAACTCTGACTTTTAGAGAGTACAGGTGGGATCACAAGATTAAAACAGGGAAGGGGAGGATAGGTGGCATGTGGTGTATGTGTACTTAAAAGTGAAGAATGTAGGACGGTTGCAGATGCTAGAGCAGGTTTGCATCGTGGCTCTCCCTTTTGCCCCCTGCCTTGTCCTCAGACATGGTGGTCTAGCTCTTCAAGTACTTGGTATGGGAATCCCATGACAGGTGACATGGGGGTCACAGGTGCTTATGACACTTTAGAATCACTGCTAGGGGGCCTAAGATACAGAAGCACTTCTGGAATGAATGCTGTAGAGAAAAGTATGTTAAGAGGTTGCAAAAAAATTTTTTTTATAGAAGCTTGTACTTGAGAAGCAATTCTAAGTTCAGAAGATGAGTATAGAGTTTTTGTGTTTTCCCTATTCCATGGATTCTTAGGAATATTATCAGAAGCTAGAGAAGAAGCAGGCAGAGGAAGAGCTACTTGGACGAAAAAACAGAGTTGAGTCTCTCAAGCTAGTAACGCCTTACATTCAGAAGGCAGAGGCTTACGAGTCGGGTAGGGCCAGGACTGACCTGCTGGCTTGGGCTGGACATCTGGGTGAATGGAGGGTGGAAAGGGGGGATGTACACCCCCTTCCTCCCCCCTGAATTCTTTCATGCAGTGGTTCGAATCAAGGGCTCCCTGGGCCAGGTAGCTGTATCGACATGTTTTAGCCCTCGCCGAGCTATTGATGCTGTACCCCATGGAACTCAAGACCAGGTAGGAACATTGTCTCCTCAGAACCTTTTTTCTCTCCCCTGTTTGGGAGAAAAGTCTAGAACACTCTCATGCTTGAGTTTAGATTGTAACCTAAGAGTGAGGAAGACGTGTGATTGGACTTTATGTCTAGCCTTTCAAGTTCAACCTCTAGGTAGTCAGAGGTCTGAGAGGGGACTGTAGTGGTGTGGCTGATAGCCAGGGACTCTTTTTTCCTAGGATATAGGAGTTGTAAGCAGTCAGAGGTTTCGGGTATTGTACCGGATTGAAAAGGTGAGATATCAGTTCCTTAGGGATGAATTGCCTAAGCTTGAGAATGAGATATTATTCAAGTTGACCTCTTTTTCCACTCTCAAATTCCCAGATGTTTCTTCAGCTACTAGAGATGGAAGAGGGCCAGAAGGACAGGCCTCCACAGTCCTGCTTCTCTGAGCAGCAAAGTGACCAGGTTGAAAAGCTCTTCCAGGCCTTAAAGACCCAGGAACAGAACAACATGGAGTGAGTGTGGGAGGGTCCTCCCTCAGCCTGGGAAGGGAAGGAGCAGAAAAGACATTGGCCTTGCTTCTGCCCCCTCCTTTCTGGCATGTAGCCCTCTCCTCTACATGGAGCTCTGAAATGCATTCCTCTCTCGCTCGTAGAGAGGCAGCAGATGGCTTCCTGCAGGTGCTCTCTGTGAGGAAGGGGAAGGCCTTGGTAGCCCGGCTAGTTCCCTTCTTGCCCCAGGATCGGGCTGTTAGCCTTCTTCTGGTTGTCACCCACCATCTGCCCCTCCTGATCCAGAGGGACGTGACTGACCAGGTACTGTGGCATTGAGTGGAGAAGAGAATGGTCTTCTGTATGAGTTAGGGATATTTCCTCCCTTCTAGTCCCCACTCCCTAGAGATGCAAGAAAAGGTGCTGGCCTTGCCACCATCAGGTAAGAAAGTTACAAAACAAACCACTACAGGAACAGTGATCATCTTTAGGTGCGATGAACAAAAGAAAAAACAAATGTATGGTTACATAGGTGTGCGTGCGCCATGGAGGTTTGAGATAACCCCCTGATAAGCACTGAGGGCCATATCTACTTCTTAGGGAGAGCATCCTAGAACTAGTGGGTGTGAGGACTCAATGTTAGGGAAGGACAGTCATGAGTGGTGCTAAGCCTGGTAAGTAACCTGATCAGGAAGGTTTCAAAGGCAGGTCAGCAAGGGAATGGGTTGGAGGCAAAGTAGAAGGTGAAGCTACAGTAGAGTTTGAGAGAGGTGCTTACTGATCTTCTTGCAGGCCCTACAAATGTTATTCAGACCTCTAAGCAAATATATTGGTTGCTTGACCTTTCATGAACTCCTCCAAGGACTTCGGGGACTAATGCTGAGACCACCTGGCTCCTTAGAGAAGCCAGTCACTGTGGTGCTTCAGAATCAGGTAATATATCTGGGAGGCTTTTCTCTTGTCATAGATGACTTCCAGGTGGTATCACTTGTATGGAATAAGTGAGGGAATACTCTCATCTCTCCACAAACCTTATCCTCTTCAATGTTCTCAATTTCCAGTGAGCATAGGATCACCTAGTAAGCTTATTAAACCTGGTTCCTTGATCCTACCTACAGAGAGTCATTCAGTAGGTCTGGGATGGGGCCCATGTACCTACTTTTCTAACAGATTCCCTGATTGCTGCTGCTGCTGAGAGCCTCTGGAGGAGCAGTCTCCAAACTTTTAGGGTTTGTTTTTGTTTTTGTTTTTTTGAGTCACAGTCTCACTCTGTCACCCAGGCTGAAGTGCAGTGGCACACTCATGGCCTCCACAGCCTCAACCTGCTGGGCTCAGGCGATCCTTCTGCCTCAGCCTTCCAAGTAGCTGGAACCACAGGCATGTGCCACCACATCCAGCTATTTTTTATTTATTTATTTTTTAGTTGGAGTCTCATTGTGTCACCCAGACTGGAGTGCAGTGGCCACTACTGGCCACCGCAGCCTCAACCTGCTGGGCTCCGGCGATCCTTCCACCTCAGCCTTTCAAGTAGCTGGAACTATAGGCATGCGCTACCATGCCCGGCTCATTTTGATTTATTGTAGAGATGAGGTCTCACCAAGTTGCCCAGGTGGGTCTCGAACCCGTGGGCTCAGCCTCCCAAAATGCTGGGATTACAGGCTGAGCCACCGAGCCCGACTTAATTTTTAAATTTATTGTAGAGATGAGGTTTCGCCAAGTTGCCTAGGCTGTTCTTGAACCCAGAGGTTCTCTCGCTTCCTCCTCCCAAAGTGCTGGGATTACTGGCGTGAGCCACCATGCCTGGTAGTCTCCAAACTTTTGATTGTGTAGGAAAAACTCTGAACCATACCACCCATGTGTGTTTATAAATCATATATATGTAACACTGTAGTAATAGGTATACAATAAATATAAGATTGAAAGTTCTAAAGAATGAGACTTTAGACATGAAAGTTCTGATATTGTCTTTCAACATCCCAGTGGATTATCTTATGTACTCCACTCTGAAGATCTTTGCTTAAAGCAGTGCTTCTTAAAGTGGGGTCTACAGACTACCTGCCTCAGATTCCTGAATCCATTCCTGATCTGCAGACTAATTCCCAGAGGCGAAGCCTAGAAATATGCTTTTAATTAGCTTTCCAAGAGTTTTTTGGAAAGCTCAGAGTACTAATTTCTTTGGAAAGGTTAGAGAGGTTATTGGCTAGCCACTGTAGAACCTGACAGTTCTTGTGGGTATTAGACCCCATCTCTAAATGTGAATCTGTCTTTTAATTGGGAAGATAACAGAGCCAGAGAAGCACTGAATGCCTAGGATGAACTCATTTTTCCCTGGAAAATGAAAAAAAAAAATGTGTGTGTATGTGTGTGTGTATATCACTTTCAGTTTGGAATATCTTTGCTCTATGCCCTGCTGAGTCATGGGGAGCAGCTGGTATCCCTGAATTCTTGCCTAGAGAAATCCAACAGTGAGCATACAGCTTGGTAAGATAATAAAGTCCTTCTAAATACTATTTCAGTGCCCCTGGGATGCAATGGTTGAGCTAGATGAGCTATTTCTTGGGTGGCCTATCAATGATTGGGGGCGAGGTTAGGCAGAGAAAGGAGAGATAGCAGGGCTATAGCTCTTCTGGTTTTTTACTATAGTGCCCTAGAGTGTTAGTTTCCCATGGGAGGCAATATAACAGAGTAGTTAAGGAGACAAACTTAGCTGGGCAGGGTGACTCATGCTTATGATCCCAGCACTTTGGGAGGTTGACGTGCGAGGATTTCCTAAGCTCACAGGTTCGAGACCAGCTTGAGCAACTTGGTGAGACCGCTTCTCTACAACTTAAAAAAAAATTAGCCAGGCTTGGTGGTGTGTGCCTGTAGTTCCAGCTACTTGGAAAGCTGAGGCTGAAGGATCACTTGAGCCCAGTAGGTCAAGGCCAGCAGGTCGAGCCTGGGTAACAGTGTGAGACTCCAACTCAAAAAAAAAAAAAGAGACAAACTTTAGAGAGTCAGACTAGGTTTGAATTCTGGCTCTGTCACTTAGCAGTAATATAATTTGGGGTCAAGTTATTTCACTTCTCTTATGTTTCCTTATCTATAAACTAGGAATGATTATACTAACACCTTAGAGTTCATAAGATTAATAAGAAAAATATACAAAGTGCTAAGCATTGCCAAGCACATACTGTACATGCAAATGTTACTTCTTAATTGCTACCTGGGGGTGGGAGATGATGATAGTGGCAGTAGAAGGATAAAAAACCTTGGCTCTGAGTCTGTTTCCTGCTCTTCAGGACAGACATAGTGGTTCTGATTGCCTGGAAGATAGCCCAGATGCCTACTTCCTCTCTGGCAGAACCCCTGGTCTTCCCCAGCAATCTACTTCCCCTGTTCTGCCACCACGTGGACAAGCAATTGGTTCAGCAGCTGAAGGCCAGGATGGAGTAAGTAATGGCAGAAACAAGGTCAAAGCCCCTTGTTCAAGCTAGGGTCTGTTACTTGCCTTACTACTCCTTTCTTTCAAACTATGAGCATGGAGGATCACATGCTTCTAGAAGTAGTTCTATATACTTTGACATTTACTCTGAGTAACCAGTCTAGCCCCAAGTTAGGGCCCTGTGGCCCATTTCTTCTGCCAAATCTTTTAATTTATTCCCAGGTGCTTTGGTCATTTATAGTGCTAAGCTATTTTAGGCTGAGAATTAATCTGAGAACCTGAATCACATATTCGTTCAAGAAATACTTGAGTGACAAACTATTTCAGGATATAACTATGAATAACATAGAGGTCACCTTTGTCCTCAGAACTTACCATCTGCTAGAAAGAACCAGATACTAACCAATTATATTAATCATATAAATACTTGTAAAATGGAATTGTACATGCGGTTAATACCTGTTCTCTTTATAGGCATGCCTGGATCTACTGATTTGTTTGTTCTGGAATACATGTACATGGAAAGTTTAATCATCAGACACTAGCTGTATAAGCTATGTCTATGGAGTTCCAGAGTCTGAAGACATTTCTTACGCCTTGATATATTAGAGGAACCTGCCCAAAACATTTTCATATCCTTTGTTCAAAAACCTAAATGATGTGCCTAAAAATAAGTCATGATATAATAAGGTATAATTAAAGAGATGACAGAATGATGTGTTGGAACTTGCTTGTAAATTAGGAGCTATCATGAAGGCCACTTCTTATGTGTGAGTGCTCAAAGAATGTCCTTATTATAATGACAAGTCTTTGTTACACCTAACAAAAGAAATTGCTTCAAGATGAAGTCTTGCTATGTTGCCCAGGCTGGTCTTGAACTCCTGGGCTCAAGCAATCTTCCCACCTTGGCCTCCCAAAGTGCTGGGATTACAGACATAATCTACCAAAACCAACCCAAGTTACCATTTTTTTTATATATAGAAAGAAAATAGTCCTAGCTGAATTTAGAGGATTGGATGTAAATGTCTCCCTTGTGATAGAAAATGTTTCGTTTCATTTTGACAAATAAGGTCATGTATTCAACAAACACTGGAGTGCCCTTTATGAACTAGGCATAGTTTTAGGTAGGAAGGTGACAGTGTTGAGCAACACAAAGTCCTTTTTTTTTTTTTTTTTTTAAGACAGGGTCTCACTCTGTCACTCAGGCTGGAGTGCAGCCTAGACTTCCTGGGCTCAAGCAATCCTCCCACTCCAGTCTCTCCAATGGCTGGCACTACAGGCATGCGCTACCACACCCAGCTAATTTTATTTATTTATTTTTGGGGGTAAAGATGAGGTGTCACTATGTTGCTCAGACTAATCTCCAGCTCCTGGGCTCAGTATACGGTCTGTTTGGACGTGAAGTGACACAAAATATCGAGTAGTGATACATACTATGATGAAAACAAAACTGGGTAATGAGAGAGGCTTAGTTTGAATGGTCCAGGAAGGACTGTCAAAGGTTTCACTTAAGCTGAGATGGTCTGGACCTGGAAAAAAATATGATAAGAAGATACTGCAGTCTATTAGGAGACCTTCCCAAAATGCCTACTCAACACCGCTTCTTGCCTCAACCCCTTTTCTTCTCTTCTGGGGTCACCAATTTTGAGTCATATTTCTCTGAGAAAACAACGAACCAGGAGCCCTACCATCTCCACTCCCTTACCTACCCGTGCTCTCTGCCTGTAACAAGGGGTAGTATTTGACTTCAACGTTGGGATCAAAACCCTCATGGTGGATCCCGAGTGTAAGACTTGGTCTGTGCTACCAAGGAACTTGCACCATCACAGAGCCTGTAAACACATAAGAGCACAATAAGAAAACCGAAGAAGAGAGGCAGGAACCGGATTCCAAAAGAGCTAGTTGCGGCTGGACTAAGAAGGCAAAGGGTAATCCCCCCCATGGCGAAACCGCTGCAACGGCTTTCCGAAGGCCGCTGAACTAGGCGGTGGAGTCTTTCAGGGTAGTTAGGAAGGAGGGGCCGAGGATAAAGGCAGATGTGGCTTTGCTGGAGAGGTTGCCACCGCCCCCTACAGGCAAGGAACGTAAGGGGCCAGAGATAGCGGGGCGGTCCTGCGGAGATCACGAGACAGCACCGGCGCGGCTGGGAACACTGCGCATGCTCGCGACGCAGCCAGGGTCCGGGACTGCCGGGTTCAGGTGACCGGAAGGAACGCCTAGACCAAGATGGCGGCAGAAGAGGGGGCCGGTAGTGGTGCTTCCGCTGGCGGTAGTTGCCGCGCTGCGGCCATGGGGCGGGTTTTGCCGATGCTGCTGGTGCCGGTCCCTGCCGAGGCAACGGGGCAGCTGGGGTCCCGGGCGCAACTGCACAGAGAGCAAGAGGCTCTAGGGAGTCTGACGGCTGCAGGCAGCCTCCAAGTGCTTTCCTTGGCGCCGGGCGGCCGGAGCGGGGGTGGCTGCTGCCTCGAGGGCCCCTTCCGGCAGTAAGTGCAGAGGGAGAGCTGGGCAGTGTGGGGGGAGTCTGGAACCTAAGGTCGGCTGGGTGCGCCCCAAGGGGCCACGCCGATTCCTTCCTCCAGGCAGGGGAGTGGCGGGAGAGGGGTGACAGCCGCGGGGAACGTCTCAAAGGCGAGGCCGGTTTTCTCTCGGAACCTTTTCCGCGGCCCGAGGCAGAGTGCTCACCTTGTTACTTCCCTGCACCCCTGCTTCCCTGTTCTGGGTGGGCGGAGACAGTATCCTGCTCCTCTACCACTTATAGCGAACCCGGAAAGGGTCCCCACTTACGCCGTGAGTTTTTTCATTCTTCAGCACTGGTTAATGAGCTGTCACAGAACCGAGTACCACGCCCATTTCCCCCCCTTTCAGTTAAATCTGTTAAAGATACCAGCTGGGGATTATCTCTAATTTGAATCATGCTGATACTTTCTTCTTGTCCTTGAAACGAATAACGTTTTTCTTCTCATGTGGGCTTTCTTCTTCCTCAAGAGCAGAGTCCGGTTTGTCCATTCACTTACTCATTCAGTAAATATTATGTGCCGACACCTAAGTGCAGTGTCTAAAAAGTTGAGAAAAACACAATTCTTAATGTGGGGCGTGCATGTTTTGGCAAGACAGACATATAATTACAATAATGCATTCTCTTGCACTTTCGTAGCTCTCGGTTCAGGACTTACAGTTTACTTCATAAAGTTTGGGAGTGCCCTCTGAGTATTTCTGCCTGGGTTCTTTAATAACCGAAAATATTTTAGAAACTATCTTTTTAAGGTTTTGGGTAGCCAGAAGGTGTCTTACCTTTGAATCTCGAGGTCCTATAACAGCACCTGACACTTAATAGAAGATACGTTTGATAAGTCAGTATACTTGTCTTTCTAGAAAGAGGAATCTTTCTGTAGGGGAAGTTAGTGTATTCAGCAGTATCAGGTACCTTTGAATGCAGCTCTGTAAAGAGAGGAATGGGGCAGAGAGAAAAGCAGCAGAACTCTTTAGGTGTTTGAGAATGCAGCAGAGAAAATGAGACAGACACATGAAATAATGGGGGCATTCATAAGCTAGTTCATGAAATTAGAGGGGAGGAGGGCTTTTTTATTCTTTTATTTAAATCTAATTGTATTTTTCTTCAATTAAAATACTTAAGTGTAAAAATAAGGGCAAGTTTGTAGCATTCAGAGTTGACTTCCTTTTCAAGTACATAGGTCTTCTTACATTTCATTTAAAATTTTCTGTCTTTCTATGTGGCAGCATAGTCCCTATGCTAATTAATTTAATGGTGTCTCAGTATTCTGCCTTTTAAATATACCTTATTTTGTTTACTTCTTTTTCATATTTGACATTTTAGATTTTTGGTGTCAACAGTCAGAAACTGAATGTTCTTGAAAAATTATCAGTCCAGGTATAAAGAAAGAAATGTAAAATGTGTCAGTTTTTAATAAGGACATAATAGTACCAAGTCTAATTTTTTGAATACAAATTAATACTTTTGTAGACAAAGGAAGCTTTTAAAATAAAGATGACTTCTTTCCCCCCATTTCGGAAGATAAAATTTTATTGCACAGTAGCTTTGCCTCTGCATTATATCATTTTCTGATTTGGGACCCTTTTATTTGTAAGGTGTAACTTAATTTTAATATTTAATTTGAAGCTAAAGCATCATTAGTCTCTCTCCATCCTTTTATCCAGTATCGGTATGTATTATTATAATTTTTTTTTGAATTGGAGTCTCACTCTTGTGGCCAGGCTGGAGTGCAGTGGAACGCTCACGTCCACTGCAGCCTCGACCTGCTGGACTCAGGCGTTCTTTCCACCTCAGCCTTCCAAGTAACTGGAACTGTAGACGCATGCCACGTTGGCCAGCTAGTTTTTGTGATTTATTGTGGAGATGAGGTATCACCAAGTTGCCCAGACTGGTCTCAAACCCCTGGGCTCAGGCAATCCTCTTGCCTCAGCCTCCCAAAGTGCTGGGATTACAGGCTTAGCCACCATGCCTGGCCCTCGGGATGTAGTTCTTAAGAGACAGAGTCTTACTGTTGCCCAGACTGTAGTGTAGTGGCTCAATTGTTGCTTACTGCCGCTTTGAGCTTTGAGGTGGGGATCCTCCCACCTCAGCCTTCCCAGTAGCCAAGACTGTAGGTGCAAGCTACCAAGCCTGACTTCAGTGTTAATTGACATTACAGTTTAAAATGTTTTTAACTGTGATGTTCAGTATGGTGGTTATTAGCTATATGTGGCTATTAAAATTGAAATTAAAAATTCATTTCCGAGTCGAGTGTGGTGACTGATGCCTGTAATTCCAGCACTTTGCGAGGCAGAGGTAAGAGGATTACCTAAGCCCATGGGTTTGAGCGACATGGTGAGACCTTGTCTCTACAATAAATCAAAAAAATTAGCCGAGCATGGTGGTGCATGCCTGTAGTTTCAGCTACTTGGAAGGCTGAGGTGGAAGAATTGCCTGAGCCTGGCAGGTCCAGGATAGGGTGGCCGTGAATGTGCCACTGCACTCCAGCCTGGCAGCCTGGGTTACAGAGTGAGACTCTGACTCAAAAAAAAAAAAAATTCAGTTTCTCAATTGCACTACTCAACATTTCAAGTGTTCAGTAGCCACATGTGGCTGTTGACTACTGTGTTGGGCAGTGCTGATGTAGAAAATTTCCATCATCAAAGAAAGTTCTATTGGACAGAATTATTCTATAATATACCATTTGGAGACTTCAAAGTCTGTAAATAAACCACTCTTTAAAAAACTCTTTGAAAACATTTAAGTTAGCAAAAAACCTATTTTATTAATTGTGAGCATCACCTCATATAAATAAAATACATATTTGATTGCTGATACATATCCTTGATCATGATAGTTCCTTTAAACATATCATCGTTCAGTATTTAAGATGAAGGGGTAAAAGGAGCTGTCATTTCTTGCTTTGAGCCCCCTTTTTACCACCCATTCCTGTATTTGTTGGTGTGAAGGGACAGAACGGGAAGAAATGAGGAAAGGGAAGGGGGAAGAGGAGAGAAGTCCTAGAGCTGTTTTCATTCTCTTAAATTGGAATGTAGACTTAATGCTACAGAGTCAGCTAAACTGTTCTTTACTCATTCTGCTCTTCGACTACCATTATTGTGGGTAAATATTTTTGTGGATGCAGAATATAATACAGCTAAACTTTTTTTCTTAGCTTTGTATGGGAGAATTCTTATGACAGCAGCACACCAACTGACA